CAGGATAGCCAAAACAATCTTATACAATAAAGGAACGTCTGGAGGCATTACCATCCCTGACTTCAAACTCTATTACAGAGCTACAGTATTGAAAACAGCTTGGTATTGGCATAAAAACAGAGAAGTCAACCAATGGAACCGTATAGAAGACCCTGCTTACATTTTTCTTATACCCAATTATTTGTACAATTTAGTCCATGTAGGTGTTTATCAGATAATGTTAACTCAACCATCTGGAATTACTGATAAAATAATAAATTTTATAAAATATAAATGAATGCAAATCACTATGGAATCCATAATAGAAAATATCCATTTGGGCAAATATACTAACAGATATATTGGGACTATGCAGTGACTAATGGTTTCTCACTAGTCATAACCTACTAATTAGGATGTTGAAAACCTAACTTTTGATTCAACTTATAGCAACTGAGCATGGTTATTTCTTTTTACATGCTATCAAAGTAATCCTAATTTCAGAAAGTGTAATGACATTGAAAAGACAGAAGGTGAGTGAACAAACTGTGAACAGGGTCATCCATTGACAGCCTAGGTGGATTTGAGAGCATGTGTATGTTCATAGGATAGTCATGGAGAAAATACAGCACATACAAGAAGGCTAGACAAGGAGAGAAAAGGCAAAAAGAAACCAAGCTGTGAAATGCAGAGAATTCTTGATGGTTAAAAGCACTTGATGTTCTTGCAGAGGACCCAAATTCAGTTCTCAGCACCCACATGGCAGCTCACAACCCCCTGTAACTCCAGTTCTGATGCCTCTGGCTTCAGCAGGCACCCACTCTCATGTGCACATAACCACACAGCACATTGGGGGTGGGGTTCGAGAATGAATTAAAAGTAAACCTTTTAAAGAAAACCAAGCTGGCAGATTCCTCAGGCAAATAAATGAACAAAATAAAGTAACAGCCTTACTCTTCTTTTCCTTGCATTTTGTCCATGTGCAAAATATGCTCCCAGTGTGTACTATGCTTAGAAGATACTACTGCTTCCATATGTATATGGTATTGCTGCCCTCAACTAGACATATGTATATGATATTTGTGGCCATTTAATTTAATCTGATCTACAAACTAAAATCCTATTTCACTCACGCTGGAGATCTGTGTATTTCCCTAAAAATGGGAACTGGGAAAGGACATTTCATACTCATCAAAGGAAAAATTCACCAAGATGATCTCAATTGTTTAACATCTATGCCCCCAAACACAAGTGCACCCACATATATATTTCTTATAGTAATAAAAGAAATATTACTAAAGATTAAATCATATATCAAACTTCACACATTAGTAATGGGGGACTTTAATACCCCCACTGTTATCAATGGACAAAAACAGAGAAATAATGGGGCTAACATATATTCTGAATCAAATGAACATAGCATACCTACAGAACATTTCACCCAAACACAAAGGAATGTACTTTCGTCTCAGCACCTCAAAAAACAAACTCCAAAATTGACCACATACTCAGTCACAAAGCAAGTCTCAACAAATACAAGAAAATTGAAATATTTCCTATATCCTATAAGACCACCACAGATTAAAGCTGGATTTCAACAAGAAACAGCTTACAAACTATGGAAACTGAAAAACTCCCTATTGAACTGGATCAAGGGAGAAATAAATTAAAGACTTCTTAGCATTCAGTGACATTCAATGCACAACACACCCAAACTTATGGGACATAAAGTGGTGCTAAGAGGAAAGTTCATAGCACTAAGTGACTTCATAAAAAAATTGGCAAGATCTCATACTAGCAACTTAATAGCACACTTGAAAGCACTAGAACAAAAAGAAGCAAGCACACCCAAGAGAACAGTTGGCAGGAAATGACTGAAATCAATAAAACAGAAAACAAAGAGAACAATACAAAGAATCAACAAAACAAAGAGTCAGTTCTTTAAAAGAATCAAGATAGACAAATCCTTATCCAAACTAAGAGACAGAGATAGAATATCCAAAATTGACAAATCAGAAACAAAAAGGGGGATTTAGGGGCTGGAGAGATGGCTCAGTGGTTAAGAGCATTGCCTGCTCTTCCAAAGGTCCTGATTTCAATTCCCAGCAACCACATGGTGGCTCACAACCATCTGTAATGAGATCTGGTGCCCTCTTCTGGCCTGCAGACGTACACACAGACAGAATATTGTATACATAATAAATAAATAAATATTAAAAAAAAGGGGGGATATAGCATCAAACAAAGAAGAAATCCAAGGAATCCTTAGGTCATACTTCAAAACCCTGTACTCCACAAAATTGGAAAATCTAAAATGAACAATTTTCTTGAGAGATACCACTCACCAAAGTTAAAATCAAGATCAGATAAACAATTTTAATAGAACTATAACCCCTAAGAGAATAGAAGCAGTCATTAAAGTCTTCCAACCCCCTCAAAAAAGAAAAAGAAAAAGCCCACCTAGCCAGATGGTTTTAGCACAGAATTTAGACCACTGTCAATATTCATCAAATTATTTCACAAAATAGACACAGAAGAAACAATGTCAAATTCATTTTATGAGGCCATAATCAATCACTCTGATACCTAAATGACACAAAAACTCAAACAATGAGAATTACAGACATATTTCCCTCATGACTACTGATGTAAGAATACTCAATAAAATACACACAAAGCAAATTCAAGAACACATCAAAAAGATTATACACCACGACCAAATAGGCTTTAACTCATAGATACAGGGATGGTTCAACATATGAAAATCTGTCAATATAATCCACCATATAGACAGACTGAAAGAAAAAAAAACACATGATCATCTCATCAGATATTGAAAAAGTCTTTGACAAAAATCTGACACCCCTTCATGATAAAAGTCTTGGAGAGATCTGGTATACAAGGGACTGTCCAGGCAACAAGATGTCTCTGTCATTTCTAGAACTTTGGAAGTTGCTTACAATGCACTTCTTGTTTACTTAGGTTATATTATATCCTTCTGGAATTTTTGATGGAATTAAAGACAGATAGTTATAGTTATACTTTTTCTTAGTTATGATAAAAGATAAATTAGATATAAAACCTTAGACTCACAAAAATAGGCTAGATATAGAGTATTTTACTTAATTTACCAAATGCAATGGATTAAATATTATTAAGTATAATTCTTGCTTGATAACTGTTTTGTATATATAATTTTACTTTGTTAAAGTTGAAACCTTCCTTTTTAATTAGACAGAAAGGGGGAG